GCTAGAAATCCCCACTCATCTTTGTTATATTCAGAATTGAGCTCGGCTCCTTCCTCTACTGCAAAAGTGCTGAATAAAATCTGTCTTCATCGTCTTTCACTAATGTCTGGCTCTATTACTCTTTAACAACCTCCTGAATATATTCCTCCTGTCTTCTAAAACTCTAGTTTACAGTACAATTACAATACTGCTCAAAGCTTATATGAAAATACATGCACATATATGCTAAGAGCCAAGTTCCTTTTTCCTTCTAGAGAATTCAGCCACTACCGCAAAAAGAGAAGTCCAAGATGGGCCTCAAGAATTATTGCAAAACATGTATCTGCTGATGGGATGAAAATTCCACCTGCTACACCTGACAAGTCAATGTTCAGATAATGGCAGCTATTTTACTTTTTAAGCGTTTCTGAACAAGCTTCCATACAGAAATGTTTATAGTCTCCTGAATGAAAAATAAAATTATCTATAAACTCACATAATTAGCTAGGTGGTGGATCCCACTAGGAAAGCGTGTAGGGTCTGCCTGAAGTCTGCCTTTTGAATCTCTTTGGGGAGCCATCCAACAGTCATCAATGCAAAGGTACTCATACCCTACTTCCTTCCAGCCCTCTGAGTCCATGAGATCTGCCATCTGCATAAAGAGGTTCTCACTGAAAGAGAAATTCCAAGAATCATTACAATCCATTAAACAAATGCTTGGGTACCTGCTTTGTTAGGCATCTTGGGGTTTCACAATTTTTTCAACCCAGTAATAGTTGGGTAGTAATCACAACCAACTCAAGGTAAAATGGACTGGGCCCTTTTTCTTCTCCTTCCCCTCCCCTCTTAATATTTCTACCCTAAGAACCCTGAACAATTAAGATAGGAATGAGAAATACATAAAATTGAAAAGGCTATTAGAAAACTAAGAAGAAACTTGAGTGAAGTCTGAAAGTACAAAGTTAACATAATTAACAGCTTCCGTAGATGTCAACAATAACCTAGTTGGAGAAAAAGATACCATTGACAAGAACAATCAAAACAGCAACAGGAAAACCTAAAATACCTAGAGACAAATTTAAGATACGTTCAGGGCCCATATGAATAAAACTATGATGTTCCCAAATGATTTGAATAAATGAAGAGCCATTATTTTGTTCTTGGATAAGAAAACTCAATATTAAAAAGAAGCTAATCAGTATGGAGGTATCTAAAAAAACTGGAAATGGAACTACCTTATGACCCAGTAATTCCACTCTTAGGTATTTATCCAGAAAAACCCAAGACATTAATTTGAAAAAATATATGCACCCCTATGTTCATTGCGGCGCTATTCACAATAGCCAAGACTTGGAAACAACC